AATAGTCTGTTAATTATTGATGATGTTGCACCAAATGCAAGGGACGAGTCCGCGTCAATCATATTTTTCCTTGGTCTATTTGACTACCGAAACTTCAAGAAGTATTATAATAATTTGAAAGCCCAAAACTTAGTAATGTCAGAGTTAGAATGATAACGGTCAAGCATTCCTAATCACTATTTTTTGTTCCAAAAACACAATCAAAAAGAAATTCCTGTTAATCAGGTTCTGCCCAAAAATATCTTCTTAGGTAATTGGAAATATACTGTACAAAAGATTTCAAGGTTCAAACTTCAAAAATGATAACTCGAGAGGGATTTTTGTTTTATAATAACCTAGATACAGTACATTTATAAAGGTTGATTTTAAATTCACTTTGTAGGTTTTTGTGGAAATCACTTGGTGAATACTGTACTGTATTGTCTAGTAGGTGTGTAGCTTTTCTTTTAGCAACTCCAAATCCTTGTCGCTGAACATTTTCTAGCTAATTTATTCGTTATTAATGACATGATAACTAATTTAGATAACGATCCATCCTTTTCTTGATAAAAAATATTTTGATAAAATAATAGTTTAATTTGAGTACATACTATTTTACAAGAAGTGTATTCATGAACTAAGAATTTCTTTTAGTTTCCGCCACTTCCCCATGTGATGCTCTCATAGATATGAAAGAAACTACAGTACTGTAATTCAAACTTAGAACTGTCGTAGTCAAATGTTCAGCAACACTCATTTCAAAGTTCAAAATTACTTTCGGCTACAAAGTTTCTGTTAGCATTTATCTTACAGCCAGAGTTGTTATCTTACAAATCTATGGTATTTAATGTTCATGGTTCTCTTTTTAATTTCTCTTCGCAAACGTTTACCCAATAACAATTTCAATAAATTTAACCAATTCAAAATAAACGTTGTTAAATTTCGACCGTTTTACATTAAAACACGATTAAAACAATTCTGCTTTCAAATTAGTTCATATTAAAAACTTGCTAAGCAATATACCGTTGAAATATAGTGGTACTAGTGTAGCAGTAAGAATTAATCTTTATGATAATATTTGGAAAATTATGACCACAAAAAACAACTTTTCAGAGGAAGTTCGTTAGTTAAAACGCTGTTTTTGGCTTCCGTAATTAATATTATTCCCGACAGTAAGGGTTAAGAGGACTATTACATAAGTGGCAATCTTATACCTCCCCCACAGACATCCCATAAACGAATCTCTCGTTATACCAAACTGTTAGTGACAGATCGAGCCTGGTATCGACACCAAAGTAAAGTTAAAGTTGTATGCAGATATTGTACAATTATACAACCTAACTGAACATGTCGATATTCTGTTTTACTTTACTCTACTAAAAATTTATAAATGATATTTAAATTAGTACTAACTTAGTTTTGATTGCACGTAGATATTCTTTATTTTTAAAATCCCAACAGTAAATACTTATTCATTCGAACGTTTCTAATGATTACTAAAAGATTTTAACAAAACTTAAGTCTTATTTTAGTATTTTATTATTACTGCTTTAAACAGGTATCTACCTATTTTGTGCTCCTAGGTATAAAAGGGTTAAACAAACGTTACCTTTTGCATCATTATAAAATATCGGCAGCAGATAATCAAAACAATAAAATTCATCCTTATCAATGAATTAGACTTTTGCATATATTTTAAATGCAATACACTATATAAAGAAATGGCAATACATTAAGAAATCTGCATTTAAATAATCAATAAGTACAATTGAGCATATTTTTCCTGGTAAGTGTGTGATAACTCATAGTAGATTTAAAGAACCGAATTTTTCTTTCCTACATTCTCACCCAGTAGCGAAACACGGGCAGAGCAACTAGTTTCATTGCATCATGCTAACTACAAATTGGAAACAATAATTGCATTGGAACTCGTTGAACTTGACTTTAGTTTCTATTGATATTTAAAGACGATGTGTCAGTTCACCTTCCAATTTTACTCTAAAAGGATATTAAAACGGAATAAGAATGCAGTTTATTTGTTATACAATTTTATACTGTTATTATTGATGACAAATTTATTTCTTTGTTAATTCTTCAACCTGTTATTCTTTGTAATTTATTGTTATTTCATTGTTAATTTATAAACACTGTTATTCTTTATATTGTTACTCGATTCAAATTTTATTATTGCTCTCGTTGTTAAAGCACTATTGGATTAGTTTTGTTGTAACTATCATGTTTTTCCACTTGTTTTGCTACTTGCCATATTGTTGTCTGTCACTTATTTTTTGTCGTTTTGATCTTAACTAATTTACTCAATTCACTATCAACTATTGTATTGTACTAGTCTTAAAAAAGTCTTTATCATAAGTTTACCAATATCAAAATGGAGCTGTCCGTTGGAATGTAAAATAAAAATACCCCCGCCGCAGCAAACCTGCCGACTAAGCGAATTTCCATTTGTCTGAATTGATTTTTATTTAAATATATTTTAATAACATTAGGTTTAACGAGTACCTAGGTTTGCTGCTACAAGGAAACTAATAAAGTGTGTTTGTTAGTAAAATATTGATACCTTCGTACAAAATAAATAAGTTTGCCAAGTTTGATCAAAATATATCCATAAACAAGCAAACTACAACATTTGACAATATTCTCCATAAGAATAACATGGGAATTTTAAATTTAAATTTTTTTTTATTTTCTCCGTTACTAATAACCGAACAAAAATACTTTCATATACTAAATTATTTGTTTTTTTTAAGATCTTTAAAAGGGTCTAAAGGGAAATTGGAAAAGTTTGTGTTTTGAGGGTCAAAAGTAAGAAAAACCCGTTTTTACCCCATAAAACCCCCCTTAAAGCCCCGTTCCCATTGTCCGATCATGCTGGTTCATTCAAGTTTATCCCGCTTTACACATTTTAACCAAATTTCATCAAAATCGGACAAAAATTACTCAAGTTATCGCGTTCACGGACTATATAAATAAATCTATATATATATATATATATATATACATATATAAAAATTTGAACCAATGGTGTTTTTGGCCTCAGGGGACATCAAAATGAAAAAGTAAATCGGTCCCGGGTCTAGGTCTTGCCGTGCCACCTACGGTAATAGCTACTTCCCTATAGGAAAATTCGCTAATAAAATAAAATAAATGCATTTGGTACAGGATGGCAGTTAAATAATAAATCATTTGTAAAATTTGTAAAAAATAAAGACTTTTTCTTTGTTTCTTGTTTTCTATAAAAGTTGAAATCTTCCCAACAACAGACAATTTCCACGAAATCAAGTTTTTATGAAGGTGACCTACAAAAGAAATTCAGGCAATCTTGTTGCAATCACGTTGTATAGACATTGCAATTTCTTTATTGTATCAAAATATAATAACGTTATTAATAAAGTGAGGTTATGTTACAGGGTTGAAACATATTCAATTATGTTTCCTTTGTTGTTGTTGCCAATATTTAAGGCGTCAAACAGGCTTCCCTACCTAAGAGCTTCTGAGTGAGTTTATATGGTTGCGAAAACGTTGAAACCAAACAAACAAATCAACCTTAGATCCTTTAAGCAGCTTTGTCTTATCGGCAAACGTTTGCTATTAATTCGATGTATTCTTTATTGCATACGGGTGACCAATTATTATGACTGCCCGGGAGGCGTGGGTTCAATTCTTGCCAAACGCTAATAGGTTTTAGCTTTGTGATAATGCTGAGATGCGTTGGTTCTGCTCACACCTTATGCCAATTATTAATCTAACGTCATAAAAAATGCACTAAGTAAGGTGAAATTTCACTAATGGAGATCTACCTCCATTAAAAGCCATGTGATAATAGATTTTATTTTATTTTGCACATTTTCTTCACGGGAACTGTACATTGTTGTCGGTGTAAAAATTTTAATTATGTGTGGTAAACACATTAGCCTATGTTTTATGTTCAAATTTTCCTACCAATTGAAATGAAATGAGCATTACAAACTTATTAGCATACAGACTCTTCTAAATGCTACAGACATTGTTTGTTTCTTAATTGCCTCCGTTGTATTAAGGAATCGTATTCAATATACTTGAATGTATTAGTCAATCGCAGTGATTACGCAGCTCAACTTGTGTTCATTTACACTATGCAATGGTCTCACACACACACACACACATGCAACAGTTCAACGGTGTGCAATCTAGTTGCATGATTTGCGCATGTACCGTGTTTTTTTTAGTAAATCATATGTTATTTTCTTGTTTGTCCTAGAGAACAGTTTTTGAATCGATATGAGTTCAGGTATTGATGAGTGTATTATTATACTACGTTGAAGGATGATTAACTACAAATTGACTAATTACATGTTGAGCGCTAATGATCTCCAATCGTCAGTCGTTGCGTCATTCTAGTACGATCGTCAGAGTTTGCATTTGTTTTACTCTGCCCCAATTTAGAATCTGGTACCACATATACCGGTACAGTATTTCATAGATACATATTGCCAACACATTTAAGTAATAAAACAATTAACTGCAGCATTTCATTGGGTTTTAAGAGTTGTTGTATCACATATTAATAGTAAATCATCTAATACTACATATACATCTATTATATGAGTTTTATTTGCGATATTATCCCCCAAACATACTTGGAATTAACACTTGCTTCAGTGTTCTTTATACTAATGATTGTAATTCTAGGGAGTATTCTATTGAAATTAACCCGAATAATTTAACCTAACTCTTGAGATATGTATAATTAATTTAAATTCAATTAACAAATTGAAAATCTTCGTATTATTCAACCAAGAAGATTACCTAAAAAATAAATACAATTAGTTATATATTTGCAGTGTTTACCTCTATAGTAATACAATATAAATTTGAAGTTTTGTAAAAATCATTAATATTTTTGATATTTGGACGGTAACGTTTAAGGATTTTACAATAGTTACATATAATTATACATTATTCATACATAAAAATCTTGTTATTTACTCTTACATAAACCTAGCTCATGAAAACAAAGAACTTACGCTAACGTCGTATTGATCAAGGCTTGCCAAATACGCAGTGTCTATTGTATCACATTGCAGCTACTAGTAGTAGATTTACTAGCTTTTCATCAATACTTACAAACTGTAATGCACTATTATCAACTACCAGGTAACCCGGCCGGTTCCTCTTCCCGGTGAAAGGACTTTAAGCAATATTGACCAATCTGTTTACCACCAACAGCTCTGAGAATCTCACAGAATTAGATTTTCAACACACTTTTGAGTTTTTAACCCACTTTTCACACAACATGGTTCACTACTACACCAAGGGTGTTGCCTTATTCACATGTTTGTCAACACTGGGCCAGTGGGCCTGCATTGCGAGCAAGGTAAGGAGGGGGTAATTTAGGGGGGGAGGCCCCCCTTTACCACCTCCCTCCGAAGGGAGTAGGCACCTATTGATCCACCACCGTCGTTTCTGTCTTTATACAAAGTACTGTAATAGTTAATTTAAAATTAAATAATTGTCAGATTGAATGGATTTTATATTCCTTTGTTAGATTGTTTTTGTGTTGGTTTTATTATTCTACATAATATAAAAAACAGCTGTTGTATATTTAAAATCCTTCGAAAGAAATATTTTGCGTTTATTTTTTTTCGTATAACTGGTGTTGGAATTTAGGTGAGTTTTTGGTAGCGTCACGGACTTCGGGCCCAAGGCAGCGATGTCGTTGGTTCGGATCCTGGTCACTGCCGCAAACATTTTATCAGTACAGTTCACCTTCGTACTGTACTGGCTCACCCCTTACTTTGCTGTATAAGTTCCACGCACATCATTAGTCTATGTGGACTGACAAAATGCAAAATAAAAAAAGCCGGCAACCTCTAGAAACAAATTAAAATTTATACAAATTAGAAACCATGTTTGTTCAGTTTTCATTCATTTATTTTATTTCTTGTGTAATAATTATTTAATTGTAAAATCCATATTTATCCTAATAGCGCTGTTTTATAGCCAATTTTTTTAAAATTGTGACTTTAAATAATACTTTTATGTGTTTTTAATGATAGGCATATTTTTCAGTTATGTTTACAAAATTTTTGGATATTTTTCAAAGTTGTTATTTAGTTAAGTTTATTTCTAAATAGTTTTATGCATAACTTATTTGTAACTTTTTTATACGTTTAAAATAATAAGTGTTTCAACTATATGAAGTATTAATCCTTTCTATACGTTATATCAATAATTACTTTTCATTTCTTTACCACCATTTAATTACTTTACTATCCTAAAAACAAACAATATTATAATCATCCTGTAATTTACTCTATGATAATTCTTATTATTTCATTATATTATTACTATTAACTTGATATTACTGTTCTCATCGAAACATTTTAATCTTTTTTAGACAAATCTAAAACAATGTTATTTATTACTTTTGCCATTAACTCTCAAGCAGTTGAGTGCGTTAACATATGTTTAGAATAATTAGTTTTGTATACCTGAAAGCACATCAAATACGCCAAATAACACTTATAATAAAATATTTACACTTGTACTGTTTACTCACAAGACACACATACATATAAAAGAAAAGATGGTAAGTGGTGATCGATTTCGATTGGACACTCCAATCATCATCATCAGACCCAAGGGGTGAATTAAAATTTAAAATTAAAATAGTTCAACTTAAAACTAATATTTATAATAACGCTCTGTATGAATCACTAACTCTACGGATAACTACTAATGTCATCGCCATCTGAGTTTTTTAACTACAATACTGTATATAATAAGTGCATTTTATTAATTAGGTTTTTTTATAAATGAAACGTTCAACGATTTTACAAAGAATGTTTACGCAGACAATGTATGGATAAAACATCTGCAGAGCACGAGATTGTGAGAGTTCCCCAACAAAAGAGCAAATGATCTGTTTTGTTTATGACGTCTTTAGTGTGATGTTGGTGATATTCTTCCTCCTTGTTGATAAAGTTTTGTTTTAATCTATTTAATACACAATATTGTTTGGGACACTGCAAATCTGTGAAGTTCAAATGCCTTGTCAAAACCAAAAAGATTTTTTGATTACTTAAGATATAATCTACTATTACAATATCAACTGACATGATGATTTCCAGCAAAATTACTTTTTTCTTGGGTTTTCTATGGTTCAATGATTTATTACGGCGTCACCGCTTGTGTTAGCCATTTTGTCAATCCTTTTTCGTACATTTCCGACCTTCAAGCTGTGTAGCCAAGCGGATATTGGGCTCACCAGGTAATACTAAAGTTTCCGATTGAATCCTATGTAAAGTCAGTATGTAGTCAAGATGCCACCTCCGGACTCAGCTTCCCTTGAAAAACAGGTTTTTAAAATCGTCCTTGTAAAAAGGAAGATAAACAGCTGTTCTTGGTGACAAAGCTACACAGGAAATTTCACTAATTTTCAAATAGTATTCAGGTTTAAATGTAGCGATGGTCGAATAATTATTGATTGAGCTCTTATGTGCATTGCTGTTTTAATGGGTTTAACGAAGATTCAGTATCATGATAACCTATTAATTGTTCTTGTGACACTGTTACCATTAGTAATCTGAAACTGCGGCCACGTAATAGTTTATGATTACTGATGGGACAGGTAACAAGAACCTTATGCTTAAATCTACATCTAAACGTGATCCATACGATATTACTGCCATCAAGCAGGATATAAGTTAGTATAGTATATCAAAAGCTTTGACCGAATGGTGGTTTTGTGCAAAAATGTATGAGCTTTACATCAAGTGACAACTGTTAAATTAAAGTGATTATCTATCTATCTATACTATTATAAAAAAGAGGTGGTTGCTGTATGTGTGTATGGGAAAAGTAAACTCCAAAAATACTGGTCAGATTGGGCTGAAATTTGGCATGATGATAGCTCACATTCCCGATTAACATATAGGCATATTCTTATTTCAAAAATCCTTTTGGGCTCCGCCCCAGTGGCTCTGGAGTTTCCCATGTTACCCTTATGAGAAATGGAATTATTGAATCTTAACAGCTGTTTCAATTAAACAAGTTGGTTCTGTTCTATGATGTTCAATAGCATTAAAGTTACAAGGATTACCAACAGGGTGCAGCACTATTATTTCTTTTACATTTATGACAACAGCTAATTTGCAACCAAAAGGTGAGTGAGCGTAGCGAACGAACTTCAACCTGGAGGCGAGTTAGCGTAGCGAACGAGCTAACCTGAAGGCAAGTGAGCGCAGCGAACGAACTCCAACCTAAAGGTGAGTGAGCGTAGCGAACGAGCTCCAACCTAAAGGTGAGTGAGCGTAGCGAACAAACTTCAACCAGGACGTGTTTGAGCCATGCGAACGAGATAATCTTGAAAATTAAGAAGTTAAACGGGGCAAAGCCCGCGGGTTACAGCTAGTGAATATATAAAGTAAATCTTCTTGTAAATATTTCCTGTTGGTGTAAATCTTCTGTATTTTACGATGAATTCTTCATAGATTAATCTTAACCATATCTTATATATTCGTACTATATGCAAGACGTGTTAATGGTTTTGAAGCTCAAAAACATTGTGATTCGCTTTTTAAGACCGGTTTATTGATTAATCTTAGGTTTATGAAGAACAAATATACAGTATTTTTAAATTACAAAAAAAATTACGAAATGTGTTGCAATAAACGCATAACAAAATATTATATTATATGTAACTATATGGTTGATGACGACTATATCTGCACTCGGCAACCTCTGACATTGTTATTCAGGAAGGGGATTGGAGGGAAGACATGGAGGGGGCTCAAAGACTTCTGTATAATCTGTAGAACATCTTTATGGACTGATCTACAGAAATGCAAACAAAGGGGTTTGACATCAAAGGCAGTAGATTTTAATTATAAACTTTTAAATAATGAAGTTATATAAACTTCCCTATTAGAAAAATAGTACGATTAGTGAATACGTAAATAAATATTAGGTACTGGTATTTGAATTTAAATCACCAACACAAAACTACAACCACATAGATGACAAAATCTTTTTTAAAATAAAATGTTCACAATTCCATAATTCAATATTAGAATGTTGCTAGAATACGTAAGCATGTTGATTGTGATTGAAATTCCTATTTGTCTGTACGCTTCAAGACAGTTGTCTAGGATGTGTAATATTGACACACTAAAATCCGCATATGCTTTCAATTTTTTAAACTGGAATATAAATTTTAATCATATTTTACGTTTAAAAATACAATCAATAACAAATTTTATATCTTAGGCGTCATAAATGTTAACGACCTCTAAATTAGCATTTAAACGAATAAAAAAAAATAAAGATAAAATCTACTCATTCTAATCTATAGAACCAAATGCATCTTAGTTAGTTAACAAGAAAACTAGTTTAACAGGCACAAAATTGATTTATAATCAACCTAGCAGTAGTTTATAAGGTGGAAATAGAGATTCCTTATAATATATATGAGTGTTTGTCCGTTAGCACGATAACTCGAGCAAAAATGATCCGATTTTGATGAAATCATACTAATATTATAAAGGGAAAGTTTGGATGTATGGATGTATGGATGTATGTTTGTGACAAGTGAACGCGAAAAATACTGATCGGATTGGGCTGAATTTTGGCATGATGATAGCTCACATTCCCAATTAACATATAGGCATATTATTATTTCAAAAATCCTTTCGGGCTCCGTCCCAGTGGCTCTGGAGTTTCCCATGTTAACCTTATGAGAAATGGAATTATTGAATCTTAACAGCTGTTTCAATTAAACAAGTTGGTTCTGTTCTATGATGTTCAATAGCATTAAAGATACAAGGATTACCAACAGGGTGCAGCACTATTATTTCTTTTACATTTATGACAACAGCTAATTTGCAACCAAAAGGTGAGTGAGCGTAGCGAACGACCTTCAACCTGGAGGCGAGTTAGCGTAGCGAACGAGCTAACCTGAAGGCAAGTGAGTGCAGCGAACGAGCTCCAACTAAAGGTGAGTGAACGTAGCGAACAAACTTCAACCAGGACGTGATTGAGCCATGCGAACGAGATAATCTTAAAAATTAAGAAGTTAAACGGCGCAAAGCCCGCGGGTTACAGCTAGTGTGGTATAAACGTGAAAACCTACATTTATTTGAACGAGTTCGGGAACCAGCATGATCGCGCTATGGGAAAGGGGGTTTATGGAGGTTTCATAAAATTTTGTCAATTATTTTCAAATCATTTTGTAGAGCTTAAAAAAAATAATTTAGTATATTAAAGCGTTATCATGCGCCTAATGGTAACGAAGAAAATTCAAAAAAAAATTATATTTCAAATTACGATGTTGTT